CAGCGATAACGTATTTATAATGTCTTATTTCACAATCTGTTTAGAATTATCACTACGCGGACGTTCAAGAATAAATTAGTAATCGGCGAACTTTTTGCAAAAAAAAAGAGTATCGATAAAGGATGCGAAGAAGAGTAAAATAATAATGGAATGTCGAGAGACGTTAGTGTGTTAATTATTGTTGTTATTGTCGGAAGGTTCCGCATCGGTGGTTTTTGCACGACAGGCGCCGCCATCACGCATTACGGTCGGCACCATGGGCCACGAAGTCGTCGATACCCAGGCGACTCGTAGTTATCAAGAGAGAATTGTAACAGTTTAATCAACGATGAATATTAAATAAGCATACAGAAGTGGATGTTAGATTAGATGAACTTTTCTTTTTTTAAATAATAATTAAAAATTTATTATTAGTAAAAACATAAAAACGAAAAAAATATACAAGATTTTTTATTATTTACTAGCTGGCCAGTCAGACATCGTTCTGCCCTTTTCTACGACACTTAGTCCTATAAAAATCCTTAAATTCGCAATAAAAATATTGAGAATCCACTTATCTGGATAAAAACTATCCTATATCTCAAGTTAATTTCATTTCAAATTTTATTGAAGTAGTTTAGGAGTTCATCGCGGATAAACAATATGACACGTAATTTTTATATATGAAGATTACAAGATCTTAGCCTCGTTTTAATAATACTGTAGAAATCAAAATTTTTATCACTATCTACACTACACACTATCGCTATCGAAAGTTAAACAAAATATTGTCTTGTTTACGTTTTACATTTTGCACTAAGGACTTTCACATCCGTTCATGCCTCGAGTTCCGTTAATAGGTACTCGTACAATTTGCAACGATTTAAAATATTAAAGGGCTATATAACAATGTGCAGCGACTTTAATGGTAGTAAGTAGTTAATATGTATAATTGTTAATATATACATTTAACTAAAAGGATATTCGAGCGGCGTTTAGTCCATACAAACCATAGAATTATTGCGTAATAATTCTATGATACAAACGTATCGCTCTGTTTTATTCCTAGATAAGCAAATATTTTTTTTACGAGACAATAAATAATTACTACTGCACTGAGATATGGAAATAAAAAAGCTAGCAACCTTCTAATATTACTAATGTACTGCAAAGTTCTACGGTCGTTATTAGACATCCAGCAAACAATAATCAACATAAAAAGTAACGGAAAACATACAGATATCTTTAATGTTTGAAAAAAAAATCGGGTCAGTTGTGAAGTAAGAAACACGTGAAATCGGGATGATGATTTCGTGAATTGTTCATAGGTATAATCAGTCAGAGCTGCAGCTCTAATAAATACCTATGGTATTTGTCTCGGTTGTCAGGTTCGGTCATTCGAGCACAGCGCGTCAGCAATAAATCTTAACAAACCTATTCATCAAATTTCTTGCAGTCCGGATATCCTCTTAAAGATAACAGTAGAAATGTCGTATAAAATACTGGGAATGCTGTTAACACTATTAATATTCCCGTTAAACACTCTTAGTAAGCGTTGCGTTACTTGCTTTCTTACTTGCCAATGTTATGTTAGGAGTTCTTTACGACAGTAATCGAATGGAGTCAACCTACGACTTTTAGTAACGCAACCACCAGACCAACCAACAGACGGATATTCTACCTTCTTGACGTGGCAGAGCCAGGCTGCAGCTATATTAGCTGTATAGTTGTAACACTAATGGGCTCGACCGGGGAAGAACCACGCTCTCACAGAATACCAACGTAAAAATAGCAGCTTAACGCTCTTGTGTTTCGTATGGTGAGTGTAGAGGACCGGAAACCCTTTTTACTGGAAACGAGGCATTCCGTCTTAGTCCTCACGGGTGACAACGCATCTGCATTTTGATTTGTAATCGTGAATAGATGTAGAAGTCTATGGGCCACAGCAACCACTTACCATCAGGTCGACTGTGTGCTCGTTTGCTACCCTATACTATGAAAAGACCTCTGAGGACTAGATGGAGTACCTCACAGTTTTTAATTATATTGGCTCTAAACATCGTTCAGATCGGAATATAGCAGTGCACGCAGTGTTCTGATCTGAAACTACGTGTTAGCAGACATTACATGCTCCTGAAATAATTTAAATAATTTTGTAGAGAGGTTCTAAGCAGGTTCACTCGCAATATTTTACAAAGGAAAATGAAAGTGTAAAAGAAATGTATAGTGAGTAAATATACCCTATGAAATATTCCCAATTTTTTTTTGTTTTTTTTTTTTGTTTTACTTAACCTCCACACTAATTATATATATAAGAGAATTAATTTAACCCATAAAGTACTTCTCCTTGTCCATCATCAGACCAGTAAAAGTTAACAGCTGACTTCCGTCGCAGTAATCGTCACGATTGACAGGCAAATTGATGATCGCGGTATCAGACATCTCGTAACTTTTGATTTGGGTATTTTACGTCTGACGTAAACTAGACGGTCCACCGCCATATATCGGAACCTATAGATTATTCTGGCATTCCCCATAATTAATACGACTTTATAAGTGATGCCTAAAAGTCACAGTTTTTGAAAGAGAAAAAGTAAAACGATATGGGAACAAGATATGGGAATAAGAATAGAAAGAGAGTTGGTTGGTTGAGCAAGTGGATGTGTGTGTTTAGGAGGAATAGTAGACATGGCAAGAATAAAGAACGAAGAGTGAATACAGGATACAGAGTAAATTGTGATCTTTACTCCATCGTGGTAAGTCAAAAACGTGTCAAACAGGCACGTATGTTAATTCATAATACTGTGGAAGTCTACCTTAATGTATATTTGTGAAGTTGGGTGAGGTAGAAGAAGCATGAGAGAAGAAGAAATTATGTAAAAATGCGGTATTTAAGGACTACTTTAGGAGTGACACCTTGGAGTATTTGTAAGCATAGCTTGCTTATAAATACTCTAAGAGTGACACTGAATGATGTAGCGTAGTACCTAATGGCAGGACCATAGAAAAGGAACATTCTGCCTTTCGCGGGGCAATTAGACAACCTTTGCTCATGAGTACTATTATATCCCGTACGTTCAGCGTTCTTCACATGTCCTTGAGATATATCTATTATGTTATTTCTTAGACATGGAACTTTTACCTCACTATTGAGCACGTGGTAAATCCGCGTTGAAAGCAGTTTACAATTTCAGTAGCCTTGACACCAAATTAAACACGCGTACTATAAAATTTAAGGCTAATGCCTCTTTCTTAAGCTACCACACTCGCTACGGAGTAATGAAATTATTTATTTCAACAATTTCGTTATTCGTCAATAAAACGTGGTGTGTATAGCGATCAATCAATCTATAAAATTAACGTTAACGAGATAAAGTTCCATAGCATTATAATTAGGTATTCAACAATGGAAAAAAGTAGTAAGATGTGAAAAATGAGGTCTTTAGGAATTCCCAGAGGCACACAAGGCCACTAATCAAATTACTAGTTATTGTTTAAGTGTGAGTCTGTCGCGAGCGATACTAAAAATTATTATTCTAAACTTGGCGCGCGATAAATTGATTTAGTGACAGTGGTCACCATGTGGGCATACAAACGTTCTTTAAATACAACTGAGAGACAATTATGAAGTACAGAGAGCATAAAACAGTGTCCTCGTAGACAATGAAATAAATAAAACATTATTAAACGATGCTGGCTTTGTTCTATAAAGAGAAACAATAATACAACAAGGTAGTTTATGTCGTTTCAACTCAATGCTTTTATTGACACATGCAATATTGTAAAAATGTGTAAAATTATTTATTCTGTACACACAAAGTTAAAACTATTGAGTCGAGCCGCTAAGCATTTCCATCATCATCGTCATCACAACCATTAGTATTAATCTTTTGAGAACTGTTTGGTGTATGTTTTTTTATAAACACGTCTGCAGGCAACTTTGACTTAAAAAGTTTTGCCTATCTATTCTATATCACCACTTTGGAGGGTGGAGGGTGGAGGGTGGGGGGGGGGGGATTTACTGTTTATTATACGACTATTATTTATTCTCTAATTGTACAGCGTGCATCGCGTGTTGGTGTGGGTTGACTCTGTTTACTGATTACATTAAGGGTGGTATTTAAACGACCGAATATACATTCAAATTTAAGGGTGTAAAAAATAGTGATTATGGCTCACAAATACTAAATGGGGAAACGACAGAGAGCGAACACAAATATTGAAAGCGGCGGCTGAAAATATGAATTTGAGTTACGAGCTTACGAGTTATTCAGAACGATCAGTATAACAATTCTTAAGCGAACAAATTTCATCGATATGATATGAGCACGATCTTGTAATATAACTATCTTACTAGACCAATTTAGGGATATAATTATAAGAATATGTTGACTAAGAATGTTAGTCAAAACTATGTTGATTTATACCTTTTGAATATTTTAAATTAAAAAGTTCAATTACTTCAATATTATATTTTATATCATTATAATGTACGCGGTTTTAGAGAGGCCTAAATGCCACCCCAGCCGCACCTTAAGCCTACTGTCACTTACTGTACTCAGTATTATTTTTGCCCAATTTAGTATTTAGTTCGGACACTTGGAATTTTAGTTGCTTGCTTAGAAAAACTGTTTCCCACTGTTAGTAGCTCATTTTACGTATTTTTAGTGATTCATTATTATCGCTATTTAAATAAACATATATTTTCGCAAACATATTTCAACACCGCCCGTTTTAGTATTAAAGTATCTCATTAACAGTCATCCATATGTTATTTATTCGCCCGGCTTATAATTCCCCTTACATTAATAGCTGTGTCAGATGCAGCTATAAGAGCCGCATGGGCTAACAGCACCAACATCACAGAATATTGACTGATTACTATCATTAAACCTTCATCCGGATTGCTAATGCGGTTGAAGTTCAGCGGTGAACTTATATGGGCTGCAATGATGATGATGATGTTTTTAAGACAATTTTCCCCTACCTAATTTTTCCACTATTCAATGAATAACTCATACCTTGCAAATGCAACGGAAGCAGCTACTCCAGTCGTGCTCGAGTCTTGAATCCTGAAGACGAACAGCTTCGCCTTCGTTTGAGCAGGGTGCGCGCTGGCCTTCTAAAAATATTTACTTTATGTTAATAATTATAACAATAACCCTACCTTTTTTTTAATAATTCGGCTGAAGTAGTAATTGTTGAGATACAAATAAATAAATAATAAATAATAATTGTTTATATTCATTTTTATAGGACTAACGAGCACGTGCTAGAGCACTATGTTTGTGAACGGTGAGTTAATCTTTTTTATAGAATATGGGTGACAAAAGAACACACATTCCACCTGATGGTAAGTGGTTGATGTGGCCCATACACATCTACATCTATCTTCGATTACGAATCAAAATGCAATTGCGTTGTCACCCATGAGGACTAAGATGGAATGCCTCGTTTCCAGTAAAAAGGGTCTCCGGTTCTCTACACTCACCATACGAAACACAGCAGCGTTAAGCTGCTATTTTACGCTGGTATTCTGTGAGAGCGTGGTCCTTCCCTGGTCGAGCCGACCCATTCGTACTACAACTATACTACTAATATAGCTGCAGCATGGCTCTACCACCTAAAAATAATGGTTATATTGTAGATATATTATGTTTATGTTTGAGGCTTTTTTATTAATTATATTCAGATGCTATTTATAGTTTAGTTTGTTCGAAAAAACATAACACAGTTACGGAGTGATTCAAAACCGCAATCAATCCCACCTGCGTTACAAAAACGCATTGCGGATCTGACATCCGACAAAAAAAACGAGTCTGTTAAATTAAAAAATAAAATAATACTACCAAGGCGTCATACGGCGTCGTAGTATTTTAAATGTAAATACTTGCCACATAGTTTTATATCAAGTAAACATGAACATTTAAAAAATATCTCAACACTTCCTAATATTCACAGTAATGAGTCATCGACGTAATATCGTCATAAAACATATTGGTAATATAGCACACATAACAACGCATATTATACGTATGTGTGTTGCAATTTTATAAGAAGCAGAGCCTACGAGCAGCGGTGGTGATTTATTGAACACAGCACATAACCATTGTTCTATTGTGTTATGTACTTAATGGGTCCTATACAAACTATCAAAATTGTTTTAACGTCGCTACGTAGTTGCAAGTCTTATATCTTCTGAGAAGTTTGATTTTGTCATTTAACTTTTGAAGATATGAAATGGGATGATACGTGTTTTTTGTGTGACTTAAATTAAGTTCTTTAAAATGCTACCAAACTACAAATACTTACTAAATATTTATCACGCTTAAACGAAAAAAGCATCATTTACTATGAAGACACTGCTGCCCTTGACTGTTTTGTTTCCTTCGTCTCCTCTTGCGGTATACTTTTAAAATAAATTAAATAAAAAGTAAATAATATAGCTAATTTAAGTTAGTCATTTTTTTTTATAGGAGAGGGGACAAACGAGCATGCGGCTCACCTGATGGTAAGTGACTACCGCCGCCCATGAACAACTGCAGCACCAGGGAGGGAATTGCAGATGCGTTGCCGGCCATTTAAAACAAATTTCATCATCGTCATCATTACACCCCATCACATACATACACAACTCCATCACTGAACATAGGCAACTCCCATAGATTGCCATAAACCTTTTTTGATACCGCTTTTTTAGTCCTTCCTAGTTATGAAACATACATACGTCATTAACAACTTGAATGTATCTTAACCAAACATACGTATCTCCAACTTTGAAATTTGATTTCAAACATTATAAACACATCAGGCAAAAATACAATATCAAAAAGCACTAACAAAATAAACAAAGATATGCAAACATTTGTCAATCTACAATAAACTGGCGTCAGAAGACGCTCGTGTAAATTTTTGCTTGTTATTTCAAGTTGCGCGAGCGTCGTAAAGACGGCATCGGTTTTACATCCCTGAGTGTCGCGGCCGCCTGATCACATTTTTACCTTGATTCAGAGCTTCGGATCCGCATTCTTATTACGTATTATACCTAGCTGTTTCGGGCGCCGCCGCTTGCTAACTCCTGCGTAAATATTTTCTAATTGATGTGTGCCCGGCGCGCGATCTCGCATTACCGCTATTGCTATCACAGTTGTATTTACACTATAGTTGTAAAAACATGAATATCTACGAAACAGCTATGTTTGGTACATTATTTATATTAATGTTATTTAAATGCAATGTATAATATCAATTTTAATATCAATTTACACCTAAATTTTTTTACATTATTCGGTTTTTTTTTCGAGCTACTTTGACTGAAAACGGCGTAGTTAAAAGTAAATATGTATTTTATATGTTTTTTCTTAAAGTGTGGAAGGTAACAAACGAGCAACAGATCACCCAATACTAACTGGCAACTGAATAAAGAAAGCCACAGATGCGTTGAAGGACAAAGACGAAATGCCTCACTGGCTGCGTCTCAATATCGTTCAGACCATAACCAGTGGAGATTTTGCTATTAAGGTTACTTAGCGGTAGAAATTAGTAAGAGAATGGTACGCACAGTGGTACCAGACGTACCCACTCGCAGAAAGAAAAGGAGTTCTACCATTTGATAAATAACACCTATAGTAAACATTTTTTCGTATTAAACGTAATACTTTTATTGTAAATATCTAATTTATCCAACTTTTACGTTTAATCGATATTGTATATTATTTACATTTCTTAACAGCCGTATCTCATAGCAACGAGCGGCTTTCAAGGCTAATGGATACATTATTATTTCTCCAATTTATTTCTCTGAATAATTATAAGTCACTAAAATATATAATTCACGGTGTTTAGGAATTGGCTCACAAATCGAAATATCCTTGGCTTTGATTGAATAATATATATCTAGTATTCGCTTACATGGCTACATTAAAAAAATTGTACAAGGATTATGGTATAAGAACGATTATTATAATATTAAAGAATAGGTACATAGATAGATAATATTATAACCCCTGGAAATTAAGCGGTCGCTACTAAGCTGCTTCCAATATGATTTGTAAAATTTAATTTAATTTTAAGATCCTCGTATCCTTTGTCTTCTTTTTAACATCTTACACAGTCCAAATTTCAATTCATACCTCCGTAGTCAATTAACCTTTCTTAAATCCCCAGATGCAGTTTGTAGATCTAACCTTAAAACCCTCTTAAAATTCCCATCCTTTAAAGCTCATTCATATACCCGTTCATTCTCAAAGAACATTATTTATCTCTGTCTTCTATGTAAGTTTCATACCTATGATATTATTTACTATACTTTTTATTATTTATATATACAGTGGACCCCCGGTAATCCGACAAACATTTTGCAGGGCAGTGTCGGACTATCGAATTTGTCGGATTATAGAGTACTGCCTACGGGCCGGATTACCGGGGGTCCACTGTACTTAATTATATATATATATATATATATATATATATATATATATATATATATATATATATATCATATCTTTTATTTATCTCCTATCTTTGTAACTGGCCTACTGGAAGAAATTTCATTACGAGATAAGTAGCGCTCTTGTACAAACTCCTCATCATGTGTCCTTTCCGTTGTTTGTGAGTACATTAATTGTTAAATAAATAAAATAAAAAATAAATATATTATTATAAAAATTGTTAAATAATTTATTGCACAATATATTACAAAATTGTAAGGTCTTACAAAAGTATTGCTGGGTGTTTTGCTGACTCTTCCCAGTACAGTGGTATTTTTAAAACCAGTGTTAATTAAGTCATGATGATGACCGGTTGTAAATAATACTTATTGAAATTAATTTATAATGTTATAATGTGAAATAAAAATACTTTTACTAAGCCTATATTAATAATAATATATTATATTTGATTTTCTATTTATATTTATGTTTTATTATGACATCTAAAGTTTTCAAATAAATTGTAATAGATACGAGTAGATAATCCCTTGAATCTTTGCAATTTTTTCTGAGAAGTGGGTATCTATGAAACAGACAACGCCTCCTTTAGCTAAATCATTAGTTTTGGAGAAAATGAAGAGGGGAATAGAATGAGAAATAATATTGAAATCCTCCGACTCCCTTAGCTTTCATTTATTTTACAAAAACTTTGCTACAAGGTTTTCATCTACATCATCAAATGTCCATTGCTGCCTTTCCCTTATTAAGAAGAATTTGCCTTAATCGTCACATTTAGCAGGCGGCTTACAGGCGTAGCATCAGACGTCTCACAATTTTGACGCTGCTGAGTGCCGATCTGGGTATTTTACGCCTGGCGTAAGCAAGATGCTTCTATCGCAATCTATTGAAAACTATAAGATTTTTCTAGAATTTCCTATAGTCACTTCTTAAACACCCACGGGACTAAATGCGGCGTTGGATTCCCTTACGTCATTATATACTGCAATAAGGTAATTAAATTTAAATTCAAGTCAATTTTTTAAATCGATGATGATACATTGCGTATTTCAGAACCAGTTTCAAAAATCCACCTAGTGCCGTTTTTACATAAAAAACAGATAAAGAGGCGCAATTATCTAAAATAACACTTAAGCTAAGCTAAAAAAATTACTGGCTTGTTGTACTGACTAGTGTACGGTTAGACAAGTTGACCAAACGTGCTACAAATGTGCCTGCTTGCGCTCTGTAAATGTGCCTTTATAAAATTTACAGTACAAAACTTTTAATCATTAAAATCATTTAAAAAATATGATTAAACCTTTATTAAACTAGGCCTGTTATTTTGATCGACAGTCGATGTCTGAAGAAAAAATCTAAGCTTGCACTTGTGTTACTTAGAAACCCATTATTTAAATGTGTTATCGGCGTACATAATTTCACATCACTTACCTATATTATTTTTAACTCATGCAAATAATATTTTAGCTGGAGAAGTAAGTAAAAATAGCAATGTAGTACATAATACAGCGAAACATTAATGAATATAATATTTTTGCTCAATGACAGCGTAAGAGAATCTCCTCTTAGTTCAGTAAGTGTATTAAAATCAACAAAGAAATGCCACGAAATCTCACAAAAAGAAAAACGATTGAGCGAATTAAGTTAATCTCAAATTCAATTAGTAACTCGAAAA